TTGGCCACCATCTCCCACCGTTGACCGCCGTCCTCTTGCCGCCTCCCACTGCAGGCTACCGTCTCCCACCGCCACCCGCCCTCCTCCCGCCACCATCCACCGCCCGCCGACCACCTGAGAAGAAGAAATTTTGTACCGTTATCAAATAAATTTTTGTTTCTAGAACAGAAATTTTGTATCGTTATCAAACGTGTTTTTTTGCTCAGAAACTCCTCCAGGAACAGAAATAGAAAAATCAATTTCTGGCCAAAAATTGATTTCTGAAACAGAATGGTTACCATTCGCAGTCTAAGTAGTCGGAGACCACGTCGTGATACAGACAACTTGCAAAAAACCTTACATATTAATGACAAATGATTGTCATGTGTGCATTGTTTAGAGCTTTTGAAGTGAGTCTAGGAATGGAACATGCATATCTATGGAGATTTGTCCGAGACATTGACCGCCCCTGGAGATTCTGGAGCTGGGAACAGCCAGGGATGGCCAGGATTGGATTCTGATCCGATACGCCAGCAGCAACTTCTGACATGTGCAGTTCGAAGCGACCGTCTCTGCACACAACACACCAAATCTCTCCATAGTCCCATCTGTCACAAACATGGCCTCCTTGAAAACGTGAAACGCCAAGAAAACCCTAGTTTAATGATGCTTCTTGCTATCACAGGTTGCCCTAGTTTGGCTCAGGTCTCGTGCGAAAGGACGAAGAAGAAACGGAATGAAAACATGACATTACGTATATCATTATATGGAAAGAGAATCATACCACAGGGGCCAGTCGAATCTAATTCATATTGCCAGCTTGGAAGAGTGACGTTATAAATGAATTAGAATGATTGGTTTATGGAATTAGTTTGCAAGCACAAATAAATGTTCAAATAAGTGCATTTCATACTCAAGCACCCAATGAGATTTCGTGCATCTTGTGTACTTGATATTAAAATATTGCGCTACTCTCTCTTTGTAACACAATGCGATGAATTTCCTGCCAATCAATATATACATGGATACACCTCGTCGAAGTGAATTTAATATGAAACTCGCTATACGGTAGGATTATACATTTGACCGTCATAACTCTCAAATACAATAATGAGACTTCATGTTTTTCATACGATCTTAAAAGCCTTGATGAACTTGATTAACGAGATCAAATTAGGAACTCCCACTTTGATCGCAAATTCGTAAAGAGGTTCAAGTTCCTCCATTCATAGACAACTCGAATACGAACCATCATATCAAGTGCGAGCCTCACGTGGAGTCCACTAACCTATCACCCCATTCAAATCCAACAAACTCTCTCCCCTATTTTGACGCACATGGTCTACAAGCAATTAAAAGGTTGACCATGAGTCACAAAACACCGGGAAAATTATCAAAAAAGTTCCAAACTTATTGTACATTTGTCAATTCGGTCTTAAACCTTATAATTTTGCCAATTGAGTCCTAAACCTTTTCATATTTTGCTAATTAAGTCCGTCTGGCCAATTTTGACAAAAAATTGCTAACATGGATATCGGCCGTCCTACGTGGCATGATCGACACTAACGCAGACAATTGTTCATAATATTTTAATATTCATTTCGAATTATTTATTTATTTCTTCATTTTCTTTTTTTTTTCTCCCTTCTTCTTGTTCCAGTTGGCCCCCGGGCTTGGGCAATGGCTAGCGACTAGCCAAAGGAAACAACTAGCGAGAGTCGCCTTCACTGGTCTCCGACGAGGTCACCCTCGTTGGGATCTAGCGAGGGGTGACCTCGCCGGGATCAAGTGAGGCTTAACCTTGATGGCTCGGAGAGGCTGGCCTTCACCGAAGGCTAGCGAGGGCTGCCTTGCCAACTTCGAGCAAGGGCGACCCTCGGTAGATCCCTTCGAGGGTGACCTCGCTGATGGTTGCCTTTGGCCGCTCGCCAACCATCGCTTAGGCCTAGCAATCGGCTAAATGAAGAAGAAGATGGAAGAAAAAAGAAAAGAAATAAATAAATATCGTTAAAATTATTATAAATTCTCAACGTCAATGCCGACCATGCCACGTAAGATGGCCAACGTCCACATCAGCGATTTCCGGCCACAATTGGCCAAATGGACTCAATTGGTGAAATGTAAAAATGTTTAGAACTCAATTGGCAATATTAAAAAGTTTAGGTCTAAATTGACAAAAGTACAATGGGTTAAGGATCTTTTGAACAATTTTCTCCAAAAACACCACATAGGATCCAACAAAATCCATATCTCAAATTCAGGACTGAGGTAACAATGCCGGGACCATGTCCCCCACAATATTCTAATCCTCTTTGCCTCTTCTTCATCAAGCAACACTCCTCTTTTCATGCTCACACAGTCACACACTTTGCCACTTTTCTAATCCTCCCTCCCATACAGCCCCCTCCCAGCTAATCCTTGATAAGTTAAACTAATCAAATCACGATAATCTATGAATCTCTTACTTTGATATCACTTAAACATCAATCAAGCCACATTCACTGCCCCTGCATAGAAAAATCTGCCAAAGCTTTGTATTGTTCCCATGTAGAAAAAAAAGGAAAGAACCCTTACTTTCAAGAAAGCCACTCGCGCTCTCTCACTCCCTTCAAAAAATTTGGTCATTCTTGTATAAATACTTCACCTTACCCCACCACATGACTCCAAGCTCTGCGTCGAGCTTTTTTTCTTCAGAAACCTTCAGAAACCCCAAGAAAAGTGGTCTCTCTAGCGCCCAATTATTGTCAAACTCATATAATCTATTGTCAGCCATGGCCGAGCTTAAGCAATGCAAGTCATACAGCAAGAGGAAGGGCAACGGTGGCCTCACGAGGAAGTGTGCTTCGTTGGTCCGGCAACAGCGGGCCCGCATCTACATCCTCCGCCGCTGTGCCACCATGTTACTGTGTTGGTACATCCAAGGCGATGACTAGTCCAAGCCCAACCCGACCCGACCCAACCCTCTTCTATATAAATTCCCCTAATTAATTCATTCATGATATTTATCTTTCGCATCATCATCATCATCGGGTTCCTTTATCATGTGTTTGTAAAGATCAGAACGGTGTTCGATCTTCTAGTACTTGTCGGAGAGCTTCGTCAGTCCGAGGATGCTGGCGATGGTCCCGGTCGGTTCAGGTGGCTTTGTGGGTGTGGCCGATCGAGACATGTCTTTTCTCCTTATGCCATGTTGCGCCCGTTTCCCTTTTTTTCCGACTCGAAATGGTGTAAATCCATTAGGGTTGTGTTTTTGGACACACGTGTGAAGGAGAGATTTAAATTATGGCACGCTCAAGCTTTTTCACGAACCGGCCGGGCCGAGACGGTTGTTCGGAGATTTGATGGAGCTGGTATGAAGTGATATGTATGTGTAAACTTCTGTATGTGGATGTCGCATCTTATTGCAATAAGGGCTCAATGTAATAAGGGTTGTTCCGTGAAAAGTCTTTAGTGGAACTCAATTTTAGCCCTTTTAGTTTTTGTTCTCTTTCTGAGAGAAATTAAGGATCTGATCGGCCTGCTTTTTAGTGTATCGGAGGTATGATAAATGTTGTAACGTCCGAGGTTTTAATAAGATACTTACGTGAATGGACTATCTTTTTTGAGAAAATTCATAGTGGGATCTCCATTTTCTAATAGTAGTTTATTTGCAGATCAGTGATGAAAAGGAGATATAATAAGACGTAGGAGACGAGATTGTTATGTGGGTCATATTAACGAGTATCCAAAAGATATTAATTGAGCGAATACAATGAGAAAATGTCAATATGGAAATGTCGATAACACATGTCACCCGAAAAGTGGATACAGTGCACGTTGCTAACATTTCCTTGTTTAGATAGTTAGGTAGGGTCAATTACACACATCACTTCACAAATTTGGTTTCCTGGCTTGAGTTTTACAAGCCAAGGGACAAGTCCTTTTCGATTATTCATGTGACAACAAATTCCTCTTATATTTGGAGGAAATTATCAAAGCTTAGAGTTGCTGTGGAACCTCACATAAGGCACCTTATTGGGGATGGGGCAACGGCTTATCTGTTGCATGATGATTGGCATTTGTTTGGGCCTCTTCTTAGAAGGTTTACAAGCAGAATAGTGTGTGATTCTGCTTTGTCTTATTAGTCTAAAGATTGCAGATGTTATTCAAGGCCATAGCAGACTTTGGCCACCAGCTAGGCCAATTGATCTGGTTGAGATACAAGCTGCTCTTTGAAGCTCCATGGTGCCAAATCCATCAGAGTCTGATCGTGTCATCTGGAGGCTAATATCATCAGGCATCTTTTACAGTCTGCTCTTTGGGTTGTCTCTACCTTCAGAGGGGAGTCGTCTCCAAGTTTACTTTTCAAGCTTTCTTGGAGTGCCTACTACGATAATATTTGGTTTCTAGGGATCGATGCTTACATGTCTCTTCCTTCTCTGTATATACTAACTTAGATTGTGTAAAGGATAAAGAAAGTTAATAGAGGAAGACTTTCTTGGACTTCGTATTACACTACTACAGTAGATGTTGAAAAGAAAGTAAATGTTGATAGTCATAGAGCAATATGGTGTAAAATGGGATTTTTTTTAATATTATGTAAGCTCGAGCTTGTAGCAGGATTTCCCTCTCCTTCTTTGGTTTATTTGGAATGAAATCCCGACACATCGCTAAAAATAATTCTGTAAACAGGGTTGGTGTTTTTCAATACATAAATCTGACTAATTGAAATTTTGTACTCTAGAACAAAAGTTATTTCCATTTTCCGTATTCATTTGAATTTTAGTGTTCATAATTAGACATTGACAGAAATACACGAGGGTATTGGAGATGTTTCCTGGCCATTATTGGAGATTCAACTTCAGATATCTTTCCTCTAGTTTTCGCCTGACCTGGTTAATCTATAAAGGCTCAAATTTGTAAACAGAAGGTAATTTCATTTACATTTTTTTTCCCGGCGTATCACCCAGCATGTGATACAAACAAATACCGAAACGTTGCCTGTAATGCATCTCGACTTTGCAAAGTCAACCCCATGTAGCTATAGAAAATGGCGAAACCAATGCTCAAAATTGCAACACACGTGTCCAATCCGGTAGCATGTATAAATTACTGAGGTGAAAATACAACAAACACATTTGATGTGTATACAAGGAGCAAAAATGCCAGAGCAGTCCAGTGGCGATACAAGAGACTTCCTGAGGCAAAAAAGACCCACCTTGTGAAGTCAGATTCTATGATTTCATGGAACGGAAGAGGAAGCTCATGTTTTTTGGATCTGGAAAGTATAGTCCTGTGCGGTGGCAGCAACAGCAGCATCATGGAGAGTAAACTCTTCAAATTCCGAACATCACTTATCATTCCAATCCTTAAAGAGTAACATCATGTATAAAGGAACATTTACTGCTGCAATGACGGTGAGCATCCGTAGCGTTCGGACCAGTCTCTGGATGATAATCTTAGTTCTAGATTTGCTTGTTTTAAGCGCTAGCTTCACATTAGAGCCAACATCACTATTTGTCTCTACATCCATAGACACCTCAAAGTCCTGATTTTGTATTTTTGCTGTCGGTCGCATGACAGCACTACCCCTGCTTTGAAATAAACACAAAAACCAGATAAACTTATCTCAGCATCTATAGAAGCAAGATTAAGGAAAGCTTGGCACAATAAGAGAAATCATGCGAATGTGAAAACTTGAAGTATGTGCCAGACCTCATGAAAGAATGGAAGTATGAATATGTTTGTTCTTAATCACCTTACTACTGGACCTTTGTCACTCGAACGATTCGTAGGGCCATCTAAGCTTTTCTTGATAAGGTGCATTGTTCCTTCAGCGTCCCAAATCTCTTCATAAACGAAGTTTTCATCTTCATTTTTCTCTTTCGTTGCTCCACCAAACAGATTAGAGCTCATGAGATGTCTGAAATGGCCGATAGTCCCGCAAATCTGATGCCAAAAGCTCTTGCTACTAGTTGGCCAGAAGAGGAGAGCAAGAAGAGTCATGACAAACAGCAAAAGGTACCTGACAACATCCGTAACTCTCAGTATGAGAATTAGATAGCGAAACAGGAAATCACATTGTGATGGTGAGATAAGATAATTACCATATGTAAATGTGAGTCTGCATAGGAAGAAAGCAGAGTTCGGTTAAAACTGCTTCTTGTGGATTGGACGCAGTCGAATTTGTCACATTACTAACAGACAGCAGCATGAAAGATGGATGTAAGTTCCCCTGCTGCCAACTCACAGTTCCTACAGTGTGCTGAATTCCGCTGTCCATTAGATGTTATACACTAGATGCCAGATGGGTTGTTCCAACCAAATACCATGGGCTTACCTCCACAACATCCCCAAACTTGGCTTTATGTACCAGCGTGCATTGGTCATGATCATGGCCTGATAGAACAAGCACCTACAAGATAACTACATGTGAGTTTGTTACTAAGTATAAACAGCTCCACTCTATTTTACGAGTTATAGGCTACATATTAACCTGACCTTTCATCTAAGCACAAAAAACCTAAATGAATTACTGCGCCTTGACAATGCACAGCCACGGAGCCAAGCATGGCCCCTTCCAACTCATTGTAATAAGCCAAAGAAAAGAATTACTTAAAACTTCTTTGGGGTTGGGCTGTACCACTCCCCCCCCCACCCGGAAAACATAAGGTTCAAGAGACTGCTCGCTGAGCTCACGCAGATGACATTTACATTGAATGTCTATGTCATTTTTCGCTTTTCTTGAGCTACTTTACTATTTCTTTTTTCTTTAATATGCATGTTTATAAGATTACTTTATTGTATCGCTGATTTGATAGGAAATATATATCTTAATATAATGAACTATAATTTCCAGAAGTAAGATAACCTCTGACAGATTCTTTGTTTTATTTTAAGTGATATATTAGTATAATAATTAACTTTGGTGTCTTTTGAAAGATAAGACTTCATAAAAAAAAACTAAATGCATCACTAACTACAATTATTTCGGTGGCTAATTCCCTTAAAAAACCCAACTTTAGGTCCAACCCCAATTCTGCCCCAAGATTTATTCTATCTAAAAAAAATCCTCAACATTCACTTTAGTCCCAAATCTGCTCAAGCGTTCAAAAATCACCACTAGAGTCTTCAAGATACCAGACAATTTAAAAAAGTAAACACTTTAACCTTAAGGTGCTACAATTTCGAACTAACGTACAAGACCAAAAAATCCACAATTAGGACAATTACAGCGAGAGACCTAAAACCACTCGGATCCTAAGTTTTGATTTCCTGCATTTAGGTCCCAAAACTTGTCACAGTGTCCACTTCAGTCCTTCTGTTAGCCCCGTCATGTTTTCGTGACAGAATCTACGTGGCATTTTTAAATAGCGGTCACATAGCATTGCCAAAACAATAAAGAAAGCCACGTGGCATTTTCCGTGCTCTTAAAATTGACGGAGTTAATGGAAGACTCAAGTGCATCAAAATTGCAAATTTTAGAACTTAAATGCACAAATGAAAGTTTTAACAGTCAAGTGCATTATCATGACAAGTTTTAGAACTTGCCTTGTAATTGTCCCATCCACAATTAGGCCGGTGCTACCACAGATATGCATTCAGCAGAACTATTTGAAGGCCAAGTTACAACAGATTATTTCATCTCAGATTAAGATAGCACACAAAATCCAACTTACAGGTTTGACCAAATCCAGCAAGTAGTTAGATGATTCCTCAGTGATGTAGTTCTGGTACCTGTATCACTAACTGTCAGACTGAATTTTATCGTAACAAGCTGATGAGTATTCTGAGCATAGAAAGAAGGTAAACAAGACGCTTACGCTATTTCTTGATTTTCAGTAGTTCGCTGGATCCTCTGGAAATTAAAGAGATTCATGTTACTTCGAGTGCCAAGAACCATCACCATGATAGTGATGAAGTATGGACCCACAAGACTAAATCTGGACCATACTTCCCAGTTATCAAAAGCTTATTGGCTGACAATAAAATGTCCACATTGATGTGGCATTGCTCTTATAAGACCATGCTGCTGAACAGTCCAAGTAAACTAAAAGTTTTATGGATAGAGACAATGTAATACCTATGCTACTGACGATGCACATATTTTCAATGATTTCTTCTTAACAAAAATCAGCTATGCTTACCTGATTGATGACCGGAGAATTACGATTGGGTCCGCAATAAGTCCAATCACGCCGATACAAAGGAATATGAGTTAATAAAACCCTTGGATTTGAGTGTGAACCTAGAAAAGTGCAAATAATCTTGAGAACTGTTCCCAAAAAGAGATGGATTTGAACTGTCAAATATTTCACTAATCAACGAAGGAAATAACATACCCAAGGAGACATCTTTTACCAAATCCCAAGTTGATGAAGCGTTCCCTTCTAGTTGACGCCCTGCAAATGAGATACTCCCCTGCCTCAAAATAATATGAATCTAAAGGAATGGACCCATTCCCGAATGCTTTAGTTGTATTTTAAAGTACAAAAACAAAAAAAGCATGCATTACAATGCGGATGAGACTAGGTAGTTCAGATTTCAGAAATTGTCTAAGAGGCATTTCTTAAGTATATAAACTGAGAATATGCATGGAAGACACAAATTTGTATACAAGCAAGTTATGCTAATTCAGGTCACTAGTTTTGAACTTTCAAGCGTATGGAAGAAAGCATAACATAAATTAAAACAATAATAAAATATCTTCACGTACCATCTAAAATTTGGGCATCTACAGCAATAAACTCCACTTTTCCAACCGTGAATCGGTGATTTGTCTTCCCAAATTCTCTTTCATACCGACTGAGAACCTGAAAACAGAAAATGAGTAAAAGCACAAACTTTTTTTCGGGGTGGTGGGGGAGCAATACATAGACAAACCCCATATAAAGCAAAACAAATAGCCTTAATTTTCTGTTACAACCTGACGACACCGGTTAAAGTGCCTCTTGTCCAGATTAGACATGGAGATGCACGTCACTCAGAACTCTATTACTACTACTACTACTAAAAATGCATAAGGGCACCTTATTGAGATACCTCTGGCTTATGGGAGCGAAGGCTTGCATAACCAACATCATGGTTTCCAGGAATGTAGTAGACTGGATATTCTGTATGCTTCTCCTGAGTTTTGAGATCAAAGATATGCTTGAAGCGGTTCAATGAATCCTGCCATCTAATAGGATAAAACATGTGAATGGCCTTTCTTAAGAAAAAATACAGAAATGGAAATTACATTATGTCAATCTAACAAAAACAACGATGCACAAAAGAATTCTGTAATTTCACAGTGGGAAGCTCTATTAAGTTTACTCCAAAGGTGAAAAAAAGGGACAGAACGGAATGTAATTCGGCAGCAAGCTTGTGCTCTAAATCTTAAGGGAATGAACAGATCAGATTTGCGTCCGTTCTACAAAAGGTACCTTGCCTACATATCGTGTTCATAATTGCAAGTAATTCTTTCTTATATTATTTACTGATGTGTATATATATGAAGCAATTGATTTTTTCTAATATTCCATAAACCTTCATACTTCTACAACAGAATTCATGGTAGGATGTCTCAGTAAACACGACAAGGAAATAAGCCAAATAATCAATGTGCTGGAGTGGTGCACAAATGCAAGCATTCCATAGTGAAATAGTTATTCGTGCACACAACTTTTCCAAAAGTAATACAGAAAACTACAGGCATTACTCTTCATCAGACAAATATGGGCCTCCATCAAAATAATCACCCAAAAACAAAACCACGTCGGGTTTGAAAGGCAGAATGGAACTCAAGTAGGCTCTGTGCATAAACAGATCCGTATAGAACTGCGCCATCCCCAAAGCAAAGGATTTAGGCGGCAGGCCGAGAGACGTTCTATCCATCAGCTGGGGACACACAAAATCAGTATCAGATGCAGGGGAACATGAACTGACACCGCCGGCAACAAACGGAGAACACAACTTATGCAAGAATACCTGTGGATCAGCCAGAACAGCAACTTTAACATAACCATTCTGATCTCCCACATCACCCATCTGAGATTAGCACAAACAGGACAAACTTTCACTACGTATTCGCGCATTCTTAACCCATAAAGGTAATAACCCAAGTAATTTCGCCTAACCGAGCATTAGTCCGATCAATTACGCACACATACATACGTCGAGCGCCCCCGCAACATCCATAACTTATTGCAGATTTACCTCCACCCCCACAGTCGATACTTCTCATGAACAGTCAACCCACAGCACGAGGCGCTAAAGCATGGATTTTGATCTCCGTTACGGAATCAAACCTGCCCTCCGCAATTGAAGGCAGGAACTTTCGGCGATTGCAGCCAGTGGGTGGTGCGCGGTGAATGACGACATACAGACACGACGGCGAGAAACGATGGTAAAACGCGAAGCCTCGCATCAAGAACGGAAACGGAAGACATAGGACGAGGAGGAGGAGGAGGAGAAGCACCGTGGAGGTGGGAGGCGGATTGAGATGAGGCCATGAACAGGACCATAGAGGAGGGACCCAGTAAGCCAACATCTCGCCGTAGAGAAGGCTGATCGCCCACGCCGCGCACAGCAACCCCGTCAGCTCCGCCTGCTTCATCTTCTTCTTCTCCTCCTTCTTCTTCTTCTCCTCTCTCTCTAGAGCGTCGCTGTTTGGAAACTGAACCTCGAAGAAGAAGAAGAGGAAGAAGCAGCTTCTGGCATTCCGCCTTCCTCCTCTGATGGTGACAACCTCGAAATTCGAGTCTTGGCTATGACCTCCCTCCTCCTTCCCCCTTTTGGGATTTGTCACTATTGAAATCTAAATCTCACGAAATATATATAAATTTTTAATTTTGTGCAATCTTATTTTAAAATTTATTTAATTTATGAAATTGAGTATGTATCTCCGAAAATACTGACGTGGCTTTTTCAAATTTTCTTCTATGACACATGGCATTGATATAATGTCTACTTAGCGCAACGTTAGAAAAAAGCCCGAAAAATTTTAAAAAATTAAAGAAGTTGAGGGCTTGTCGGCCTAGCCACGTTGGCGCCGCCCCTTGCCACCACCATGTGAGGGTCGACTTCCCCCTCACGACTTCAATGCGAGGGTCAATCGACCCTCTTATGGCGAGGGCCAATCCTGTCAACCTTGGTCGACGACCCGGCAAGGGTCGCTTGTGACACTACCGCCGTATCGAGAGAGCAATTGATCTCTTGTCTATTTTTAGTTTTCTCTTAGTTTTATTTTACAATTCTTTTGGGATCTTTACTAAAAAGTATTGAAAATAGCCTCGTCGGCATTTTCCATTATTCAAATTAGACAAAGTTGATAGATTATTAAGCAAACACTTAGCGCGGACTCTCCAATGCCACCAATCGCAACCTTGGAGTTTTAATATAATTAATTAAACATGCAAATTAATTCATTTAGAAGTCGCCACTAATTTATTATGGGGTTAATCAGAAACCTAAGATAAATGCGAGAGAACATTTTACTTCTGTAAACTAAAAATTTCATAGAGACGAGAACTTGATTACTCTAGATAATTCTAATGCTCTTTGAGTATATTTTCTCTTTATTTCAAATATATTTTGCAAACATTCTTAGTCAATTTTAATCCTAAGCTACTAATAGGTGATGGGTAATCGTGCGTGCCGCAAGCAAGTTATTTAGCACTCAATAAATCAAAGTAATAAACAAATTGCTAGAAAAGGATGAGGAAATTTCTTTATTATCATCCTATGCATCAAGTGTTCTGCAAAATATTTACTATGAACCAAACAATGCATGCATTTCCTAAACATGACTTCTAAATGCAAATCTTTTTTTGACTCTTTTCTATGTGAATTTTTTGTAATTTCTTTGTATAAATATTGAATTATATGCAACGCATGAGATGTAGTTATTAAGTAACCTACATGATGTGATTATATTAATCCTAAGGCATGAAATTCACATATGTGACATCCATATTATGAGATTTTATAATGCAATTTACATGACATTTTTTATTTGATTTTTGTTTAATAAAAATTATGAACTATCCTAAGTCTGTATGAATTAAATGCATGGTTCTAAACATGAAAGAACCGAAGCCATGGATGCACCTAAGTTTTTAAGCACGCAACTAATTTACGGCGTGTGATATGCATGGCGATTAATAAACTTAAGTGACGAACTAAAATACATGTTATATGTATAACTCACCAATTTCACTTGACGGCTTGTTATTTTAAGGCAATCAAATTTCAATTAATCAATCAATCATGACAATCACATGTAAGACTATGTCATGGGTCCGACCTTTCGTCTCAAAATTCTAAGCCCTAAGACGTCTTAACTAATAGGACAAGTCGAGGCATAATGAAAACAACCTTAAGATCTAATTACTAAATAGCATGCATTTAAACTATATAATAAAATTAAATAACCCACATAAATTACCAACCTCACCCTCACATCTTAGATTATGGTTTTGACCTAGCGAGGACCAAAGCGAATCGAAGCGGGGAGGACCGGCGGCTAGGCGAGCTTAGCGGTGACCGGCAAAGATGGCGGCCGAGCCAAGACGGGGCAGGGATTGGATTGCAGCAGCTCGGCAGATTGCTCGCCGGCGTGGAACCGGAGTACGGGCTTCCACAACGTTTTCAGCTTTACTTCAAGCCTGGGCAAAGACCCAAAAAAGGTCGGATCCACCGTTTTCCTGCAAGTTCCCATGTAATGCTCCCACTATCATCTCCTTCACTCTCCCTCTCCATCACCGAGTCTCCACAGTTTTCTTCTTCTTTCGGTCTTCTTCCACTTGCCGTGACTTCTCGCCTCGTGTATGGAATATATAATATGCGGACGTGTGTGACTTGATCAAGGCACGGAAAATGACTGATGAACGCATGGATGTGATCATGAATTTGAGATTCTGTGTTGTAGACGAAACGATGGTAACGTGGATGCTGGTGGTTCCGGACAGTAGTGCTCACGGATGGCCGTCGTCCGTGGATCGCCTGGAGCTCGCTGAAGCCGGCGATGAGGAGCTGCCGTCCTGGAGATTGCTTGGTGCTGGTGCTGGGCTGGAGAAACGCCTGGATTCGCTGGAGCGGCTACGGGAAGAGGTGGGCATGGCCGTCGGTGTTGGCATGCTGTGAGCTGCTCGATCCAGACGCGACGGAGCTGCCGTGGGGATTTCGCCGGACATGCTGGTAGCTCTGGCCGTAAGTCTAGTGAGATTCCGCCATAATCTTCTCATTGTACCCTAATGAATATGTCCATTATTATCCATTTTGCTCACTTATTTCTTTCCTCTCTCTCTTCGTTCCAAATTAGGCAGAAAATTATGTTATTTATAGCCTCATTTTGATCAAAGAATGCAATCCTTCCTAATTTAGAACACCCATGTGTGTAGCAATTTTCGGCCATATGGAAAAGATTTATGGGCTTGGCCGATTTGATGCCCTTGCTGGTCTTATTCCAGCTAATTTTAATTAAGGTCGGAAACTCCCTACACTAGATCAATTAGAATGCAACTCAAGTTGGCTTATTACCACTAAATGCAATGTACATTAATAATATTTTTGTTTAGGGTCAGGATCAACCTTAATTTTCTTACGCAATGAATAACTCAATAAGCTCGTAAAAAATTACGTGTCGACAACAATCTAATGAAGGTACTTGATTGTACAAATTGAAAGTTTTAGGGTTTTGATTCCATTGATCCCGATTTGCAATTTATGATTTTGGATATGATCAATTTCCATTTTCACTTCGACCAAGGTCCTTTTAAATTCCAGGCAATGAGCCACTGCAATATTAGGTTCTCCAATTTGAAATAAGAATATCTTCAGATAGATATTTCTGTTTTGTCGAGTATTACTTAACACTTCCAAGTAAAAGCATTGTCTTATACTGGGGACATAGGAAGGTAAGCCAAATCGAGCTTGAAAATACTTGACTTAATAGCTCGCAAGCAAGCCCAATCAAGTAATGGTAACTTTATACGTTTTAATTTCGTATATACAATTTATAGATAAAAGTTGAGAACTTTCTAATAGTGGACATGTTTTTTTTTGGAATATGAACACGAGTGCAAGCTCAAGATCGAGTTGAATTCGAGCTTTGAATAATAATTATTCAAACCGATTCGAGCCTAAATATCAAACTTATCTCGATCGATTGCACCCTTACCTGTGTTAGAGTGTGGTTTATACTCTCTATCAATAGAAAGACACCGAAGTGTGAGCGAGCGGGGATCCGAGAGCCGCCGTGACAGAAGTTGTGCCCCCGCAATACCAAAGGGCTTTTATGGTTTTGACCTGTATTTTATTAATAGTTTGGGCTTATGCCCATGAATAAATACTGAGCAATATATAATATCTTTCTCTTGTAATTAACAGTTGTAACAACACAATAACATGATGAATCGGGATATATCATTGTGTCTCGATTTTTTTTTCTCATCTTTTTTTACTCTCTATTTAGTTGTGTTTGAACACCTAATCCTAACAATTTAAGAGTAGTTTGGTCAGTTCGAGTGTCTGAGTTTACTGAATCAGATACAGGTGAATTTGAATTTGATCCCATCTACTTCTTGGAAAAGCTTCACAACAAGAAGCTAGAAAGCTCTGATGGATCAATAGCTTCTTCACATCCTAAGACAAAAACAAAGGTGAGCTCTGTTCTTTATCAGTTGAACCACACCTTATCCAGGGTAGCAGCACTTGACTGATCGTCTGCTTTTGAAGCTCTTCGAGACCTTCCCACTTACCCTCATGTTCCTTCGAGCATGCATTCGACATGCCCCTTCGTCTACTCTATCAAACAAAAGAATTTACCATTATAGCATTTATGGTCATTTCATCTAATCTACTGCTGCCAGTATCAATTGACAGAAGTTATGTATGATCTGGAAGATTATCACATATTGCTGCTGCACTCCCCGTGCCCTGCCTTTTGGGTTTAATTCATTCTACAAGAACAAAGTCATATACTGTCAAATAGAAAGGAGAAGATACAAACCCAGACAAATGAAATCTGGATTGTCAATACACTCCTTCCCAACTCTATCTCCTTCACTTTCTTTATTAACATATCACAGTGTGCGAGCAGCATCGAGATACAGAGCACATGGTGGACGAAATCAAACCATGTAAAAGTTTGCTACTTTACAGAAAACATGGCTACTTTCTCTGCAGGGAAGTGTAACATGGCCTTTCCTCTTACAAGCTCAAGTATTCCTTTTTCCTTCAATGTAACCTTAAATTTGCATAACTCGAACCAAGCTGAGTTCTCACCACACAAAATTTTGCATCGAAGCCACCAATCCATTTTAGTGTGTATAGCCACATTCTGGTAAAAACATGTAGAGAAAGTAGGAAAGAGTGATGGTCCTCGAATGACGTTATTTACTCTCCAACTGCCTAAAGCTAGTGACCGAGTCACTGAATTACACCTCCTTTCCCCTGTACATGTCCCAGAAAATACATTCTCTAGTCTACACAAGCAAGTTACACGTGTATGAACTGAAAAATCTGCAGCAACGGCATTCCACGATATTTGGGCTGCTTTGGCACCAAGTTCTAGCGATGTAATAAGATTCACTTTCCATTTGGGGTCAGTGAATTAATGCCTACATTCTTGAGCCAATCCACCACTTCCTTGATGGTTGGCCTCTTGAAAGGGTTGTCATTCACACATAGGCATGCCACATCGAGAACTTGCAGCATCTGATCCTCGAATCCCTTTCCTCTGATAAGAGAGTCGAAAATTTGCTCCTGTTTACCCTGCTTCCTCATTTCCTGCACCCACTTCACCAACTCTCTCGACTCTCTTGGCTTCGACACATCTACAGGTCGTTTCCCTGTAAGCAACTCCAGCATGACCACCCCAAAACTGTACACATCGCCTCTTAATGTGGCTATCCAAGCATGAGCATACTCGGGGGGAATATAACCCAAGGTACCGACGAGCTCCGTGGTAACGTGAGTATGATAAGGAAGAATCAATCTAGACAATCCAAAATCAGCTACATGTGCTTCAAATTTCTCATCAAGAAGAATGTTGCTGGATTTGATGTCTCGGTGTACGATGTGTGGCTCGCATATCTGGTGCATGTAAGCCAGCCCGCAACTTGCGCCCTGGGCTATCTTCAGCCTAGTGGGCCAGTCCAGTTGAGCCGGACCGTCGCTCTTCTCGTGCAACCAACAATCAAGACTTCCGTTCTCCATGTAAGAATATATGAGTAGACGAGAGCCTTCATGGATGCAGTAACCCTGAAGGGCAACCAAATTCTCATGCCGAGCATTGGAAAGAACTTCCACCTCAGCTCTGAATTCCTTCTCCATAAGGCCCATGTCCCCTGAGAGTTTTTTTACAGCCAGCTTCTCCCCGCTTGGCAAGTTTGCTCTGTAGACCAAGCCGAAGGCCCCGCAACCGATAATATTTGCCTGGTTGAAGTTGTCGGTGGCTGCCAAAATTTCGGATATTGTGAGATCCTTTAGGTCATTCATGTTCTCCTGGAACACTATCACCAAGCTAGTGTCCTTGTCAAGCTCCCGAGCCATCCCAAGAGTGGAATTCATGGAAATGTTGTCCAAGTCGGTTTTATCTGAATCCCTTCGAGGACTGACTCTTCTCTTGGTGAATACCCACAAGCCAAAAGTGATCATGAGACCCGCAATAAAACATGTCCCCACAATCAGACCAACGATGAGCTTCTTATTTGGGTGTTGACGCAGTATAGAAGGGACATTGGGTTGACTATTACAAGGCTTCTGTACAACTGCACCGCATAATCCGGGATTTCCCATAAAGCTGGAGTTAGGGAAGGTGTCAAATTGGCCACCTGTTGGTACCGGCCCTTGGAGATCATTGTCGGCAACGCTGAACGAGGACAAGAAATGGAGACCTTTGAGGGATGTAGGGATTGCTCCGGTTAGTTGGTTAAAAGAAAGGTCTAATTTTTCCAGGTTCGTAAGGTTACATATTTCATTTGGGATGCTTCCCGAAAAATTGTTGTGATGGAGGTCTAGAACATGCAGAGATTGCAACAGGCCGATCTCAACCGGTATAGGACCAGTAAGGTTATTGTTATACAAATATATAGCAGGTGGGAGATTTGAGAGTTGATTATACTGCTGATTAGTTGCGTTATTGGGCATGACAAAGACCGGCAGCTCGAGATAAGTCTGGTTCAGCAAAGCAATAGGATTCGCCGATGTCAAAGCCGGTAAACTTGTTAGCTCAACCGGGAATCCACCGCTCAGAAAGTTACTCGACAAGTCCAAGTAGAACAAATTCGGCAAGCCAGCAAACCAACCTGGAATGGTACCCGTGATGTAATTCTGCGATAAGTCCAAAACTTCCAAATCGCTAAGCCTTTTTAGCCAAATGGGTACTTCCCCTGTCAATTGGCAACCACCTAGGGCTAAAATCTGGAGACTCCGGAATCCGCCTGAACCGATTATACTATCATCTTCAGGCATGGATTCGCCCAAAAAATTCTTGGACAGTGTAACAGTACTGAGGTTCTTCAGATTCATCAATATGCCAATCGCCCCGGTGATGTTTGACAGGGAATTGTTAGAAATCGATAAGAAAGTCAGCGATTGCAGCGAGAGTATCTCCGGCGAGATTTGCCCCTCGAGCCTGTTAATGGCAAATCTAATGGCAGTGAGTGATTTACAAGAGTAAAGGCTCTGGGGCAGTTTACCGGTGAAGTTGTTGTTGCCGAGGTCAAGCGTCGTGAGCTGCTGAAGCGGAGAGAAGTTGAACGCCGAGATGTCTCCTCCCAAGTTGTTGACCCGCAGGATCATCTTCTTGAGGCTGACACAGTTGTTCAATGAAGAAGGCAACGATCCAGTCAAATTGTTGATGTAAAGCAGCAAGTACTCAAGCTTGGCCAACTTCCCAATACTGCCAGGTATGGAGCCACTGAAGTTGTTGGAGTACAGAGCAAGAACCCGGAGATTGCTCAAGTTGCCAATCCCATCGCCGATCGGCCCCTTCAATTGGTTCAAATGCAGAGAAAGTTCCTGGAGCGACGCCGCGGCGTACAAGTCGCCCGGAAGCTCCCCGGTGAGCGAATTGAAGGCCGCGCGGAAGACCGCCAGGTCCGAGCAGCTCCCCAGCCCGGACGGGATCTCGCCGCTCAGGTTGTTGCCCGAGAAGTCGAGCGAGCGGACGAGGCGGGCACTGTCGTTCGCGGCGTCGCAGATCGGCGAGGGGATGGGGCCGGCGAGGCGGTTGTTGCTGGCGTTGAAGCTGGTCAGGTTCAACCCGGACCGGAAGATGGAGGGCGGGATCGCGCCGCGGAAGGCGTTGCTGGACAAATCCAGGGTCTGGACGGCGTTGTCCCCGGGGAGGATGGGGATGTCGCCGGACAGCCCGTTGAAGCTGAGGTCCAGGACCCGGAGCTCCCCGAGCGCGGCGAAGAAGTCGGAGGGCAGGGGGCCAGACAGCAGGTTGCGGGAGAGGTTGAGGTGGGTGAGCGAGGTCAAATTCCCGAGCGACGGCGAGACGGTGCCGTTCAGGTGGCGGCCGGGGAGCCACAGGCGGACGACCCGCCCGGTGGCGGGGTCGCAGGACACCCCCTCCCAGCCGCAGCACCCGGGGCCGGCGGTCCAGTTGAGCGGGCCCGCGGGGGCGAGCGGGGAGACGCCGGAGAGGAACAAGTAGAGGGCGTCGCGATCGGAGGGGTCGCAGGCGGCGGCGGCGGAGAGGGCGTGGCAGGCGAGGAGGAGGAGGAGGGCGGAGAGGTGGCAGAGCCCGGCGCAGCAGAGCATGGCTCTGCCGGGGCAAAGGGTGGTGGTGGGTCCAGGGGAGTGAGGCCTCATGGGGGAGGAGGTGTCATGGATTGGTGGTGGTGGTGGTGATGGTGGTGGTGGTGGAGGAAGTACAAGAAGATGCGGGAGTTGCAGAGAAAGCCCATTGACCACAGAGAGAGACACACACACATATACAGTAGAGAGACTGACGTTGATACGAACAAACAGCGATGTTAATTATTAAAGAAAAGGAGAGGGGATTATCTTAAGTTTAATGGTGGGAGGGAGGGGGGAGGTGTGATTATGAATGATTATGATGAGATTGGGGGGAGAGAGAAGGAGAGGGAGAGGGGAGGGAGAGGAAGAGAGAGAGAGAGGTGTTGTCTGTCTGACGAGGCGTTTACTTTCTTTGTTTTGGGGAGGGCGGCTTGCTTTGGTGCGCCCGTGGATGGATAGATGGATGGTGGTGTGGTGGACTTTTTGCCTTCTGGTTTTTTTTTTTTTGGAGAGGATGCAGATGATGATTGATGGATGACCACCCCCCCTCCCCCCTAGAGAGAGAGAGAGAGAGAGAGAGAGAGAGACTGTCCTGTGTAAAAATTCCATCTTTTTTTAATTGCCCTTCTCTCTTCTGCAGCTGCAGCAGCGCTTTGATTACAGTGGTGGCGTTTCGTTTTGTCCGCTTCAGGACTGACTTTTTTTTTTTTGGATCGAATCAGGACTGACTCGACTGGCTGACTTTTTCCCCCTCCCTCTTCTCTTGCTCTTGCTTGGCGTCTGTTCCCGTGTTGGGATTTTCAGGGGAAATTTCTTCCACATTCAACAGAGCGAGAGCTCCCTCTCTCTCTCTCTCTCTCTCTCTCTCTCTCTGCTGTTCACTGCTAGATTTGAGAGGGTCCGGTCAACCCGTTCCAGTTTGGACAAAATCTAATTGCATCCGACGCCTCCGTGTGGTCCCGTGGCCGTATATGAACGCCCCCCACCCGACAGAGCAGATGAAGCGGATTTTCATCAGATGTATAGTTCAATGTTTGTGTGCGCGCGAAGAGTGAGCATCGAGTTTAAGCCGGGTTTCTGTCCTCTAAATTCGGGCGATTTCTCGCAGTTTGGTTGATTTCTTAATTCAATTAATGCGTAGGCCAAGTCCTTCTTTGTGAAGGGCCGTAACCGGCATTGTCGGTTTGGTGAAGCGGCAATGTTGACACGGCGGAGAGAATTGACGCGTTGAGGCTGATGCGGCACGAAATAAGCACCGTATTGATGAAATGAGAAATTAGAAAGCATTTAACAAGCAAGAAAGGGAGAGAGAGAGAGAGAGATGACGGGGTGAAGTGCCGCCAATAATTACAGGTGAAGATTTTGGACGTATTTCAATGCGTGCGCATACACCGCATGAATTCAGTTTTTTTAGAAATAAGGGGAGTAACTATTGGGTGGCAAGAACAAATTGATTAAGAGTGCAAAAACAATCTCTGTAGTCAACATCAAGAAAATCACCCGCATCTAACAATCAAATTTTATATCTTCGAAGCACCTTCTCATTTGATATTGCTTAACTAACATCTTCAAACGCACTCCTTTGCAATTGCACCCAAAAATCACATTAGAAAAATTGGGAACCACTTCAAATTCCAAACTTTCAAAAAGAAAAGAAAAGAAAAAGTAAAAAAAAAAAACCCTTACAAGAAATCAACACCTGGCATTTGGTGATAGAGCCTAGCTTTATTCTGGGGGATTGGATTACTGCAGACCATATCTTTTCTAATCTCTCTTTTGAGTATGCGAATAATCAACATAATCATTTCTTCGCTAGTGGTGCTTTGGAATAACCTAACTTTTTCCTTTCTAATTCCTGGAGAATATGTGCATTTTTCATTGACCAAAAGGACTATTTAATGGAAGGGTTTTGAGCAACTTGTTGGTACATGATGGGCTCATGATCAGATTGTGGTTGGGGAAGAGCTGAAGTGGTCTCTGCTCACCTTTTTCAGCACCTAACAACATGGTTTTCAATTGCACATTGGCCTTTAAGCTTTCTAACCCTCGTTTAGTGCTCTGTTCTTTCTTTTATCATGCATCTTTCTGAGTGCTCCCCATAGACCCATACAGGTCGTGAAACGTGTACCTTAAACTAAGTTGGTGGTGGACTTTGAGGATGTCTGGCCATGGCTTGTAGCTATCATCTTGCTTCTGACATTGGAAAGATTTCGGTATAATATATATGTCCCACTTGCAATTTTTGGGTGTGGATTCCTGCTGATGCAGCTGCGGATGGTCGGACAGAAATTGTAAAGTCAACAGTGGAGCCAGAACATTGTTGTGTAGATGTATTGATGGCCTAGGCTTTATATGGTTTGTTTTGGGGCTTGTTGCATATATTTAGTATTAGTGGCCTCTCGAGTTGATTCTCAGGCAAGTGGTCGACCGCCGGAGGACAAAACACATTTCAAAATACTTAGGTGGACGCTATATAAATTAATCGGGAGTTTTCTATCACACCCATTATTGAATCTCGATTGAGTATATTATTAAACAACGGAGAGATGATCTCTCTCCCTCTCAAGTCACACCAAAGTCACTATTCAATAAAAGCTGACCGAAATGCATATGGTTCGCGACATCGCCATCTCGTTTATAAGATAGGGTTTTTCTTTGGTCCGAGGTCGAAGTCAACTGAGATTGTTGCAAGTGATTTGCGAGTATTGATCTGCATCGCCCGTTAATAAACTTAGAGAAGATGTTGATCTTCTTTTTTTAAGCAAATGAAAGGGAGACAAATGGCAAAATCTAGAACTGAAGTGCCAAGAGCCCGTGGAAACAAGAGCAAGTGGTGGTGGGGTTATCCAAGGGGGTGATTCCACTTGATTTAGAGGTTTGACTTTTGTAATTCAAGACATTAAAAAAAAAAACTGTGCATGGACTCATCTGGAGACACAAGATGTGAATGAATGAGCACACAAAGTTTGAGAGATTTCTATTCCCACGCCATTCATCACAATGATTGTATACATCTTATTTCTTTATTTTCTATAGAATAAATGATTTTAATTGCGTTTTACGTTTCGTCGATTAGCCAAACGAGACATCCGGACGACAGTTTGAAAGCGGCGAAAATCATATCATTTGATATGATATGCTAGAGAAATTTGCCAGAATCAGGTGCTTCTGGACAAATGAGGAGCTCAGCCCCTACGTGCTGACCATGACTTGGGTCCCCTGATTCAAAAGATCTAGAGCCTACATTCCCCCTGTTAATTGCTTCCCTTCCATGCGATCATAGTCCACCAAACTCAACCATTTTATTTAATTTCTCTTGACATTACTTAAAGACCAAGTTATGCTTATAAAAATAAGACGAAATTGAGAACGGGGTTGGAGGCTGCTTTTGGTTTTCTGGATGATTGTTTGTTAGTACTCTCGGCATCGGAGGTTCGAAGGTCGTGTCGTTTGGTGGATAAGTCAAATGTTAATTGATCGTGTTGTTCGATGCAAAAATCGGCCACGAATTGGAATTGAAGACAACAGGTCAATAATGGACCGTGGCTCGTTCGTTCGATCATCGGTCTAGGTGTAACAATTGCCCTAAATGTGGTGAAGCGTTTTTGCTTTTTACTTGCTTAAAATAGATATCTGCTTGCAAATCTCGACCATCATCTCCTATTAATAGAAAACACGTGATTTGATTATTACGGTGTTAGCTACCTTGATTTTCTTTTTTTATATTATTATTTATCCAAGTGACGCTTCATAAAAGTAAATTCATCCATTATCTCGGCAATTTGATAATTTTTACAAAAGAAAATTGCCAATTTGGAAAAAGTAAAATTAGAGGTAATCGACTCCAGCGTTAGAACTCGAAGGTCCCGATTAAGAAGAATGGGAACAGAGATTCAAAGCAGCTTGTTCTTTAATCTACCTGTGAATTGGGTTGTCGCATTTTCAAAGTCATGGTGCTAATAATTTTCAATATATTAGTTTCAATTTTTTAATGAGACAAGGCATTAGTTGAGTGTTTGGGAGTGTGCACTCCATCATGAAATGGGAAGGGTTTGAAACTTAGTTTGCGATATCATTTAATCTACTAGGTTGAACCGGCCTAGGTTCTCGAGTGGAATCGTCGATTCACATTCCAGAATTAGGACCTCTGTGGGGGTAAGTTGATATTCGAGCTTTACAATCGAGAACCAAATTGGTTCCTTCCAAAATTGACCTAGAACCACATCAATTAAGCTGGATTTCGAGTTGAATCGGATCCGATCCTCGCTCCCTAAGTAAGATCTCAATGGTGTGGAAAGTTGGTGGATGGCATGGGAGAGAACTGTTGATGGTAGGCCCATTGGCTACACTGAAACATGGGTTCTTTAAGTCATTCCAAATACTTCCATGACAAGAAATGTGATTTATTCTGTCCAAAGAATAAATGGACATTAGGACATCATGCTTTGCAAGTAATAGTAACATAGAGTGGCCATACTGGCAAGCGGCCAGTGGCAGGGGATGGCCAAAGAGAAAGAACCAAGAGTCCATGATCTAACCAAGATCTTACCTAAATTCAATTGGAAACCAACCTCCTAGCAGCTTGATTTTCTCTTTTTTGGGTATGACCTTAGCAGTTTGACTGAATTGGTTCCACCAACATGCCAATCGACATATAATCTTGTCAAATGTAGTTTATATAAGAAGATCAAGATTTTGTGTTACTATTGTTGGATCCATTTTGAGAGTCACCAAAAGGCCGACGATATGCAATCTTGGACATGTAGCTGTTTTGTGTGCCGCCTTCTGAACTAGAAATTGATATGGGCTTGAAAATCATGCATTTGTTTGGATCATCGGCATGAATATATTATGTCGGAGTTTCTCAAAATATTGCCTCAAAGCTTGCCATTTAGTATTGTAAATTAGTAGAATTGTTCTCTTATTATTGCAGGAAAAGGTTTTGGTATTTTCTCCACAAAAATAACTGCTACCTAAATACCTCCTATGAACAAATTATACACCTAAGTGAATAATGTGCTCTATATTCTATAAACTTATATATTAAGCAAACAATATAATCTATAATCTTGTGTGCATATATATACACAAGAGCTTCTGTGCATTGATGATGTGGGTGTTTTGCAATTAATGTTTGCCATTATAGTATTATTATTATTATTATTATTATTATTATTATTATCATTATCATCATTATCATTATTATTATTTGGGTTTTGTGCATTTGTGAGAGTTTTTGCAATTAGTTTTTTTCTTTAAAGTATTTTCTTA